CCATGGTCACCTTACTCTGCTATCAAGTATTAGAACATATTCCTTCTAACTGTATCCTGGTATCCATTGACCAACATCACTTTATCCTTCCCTCCATACACCCCCTCCCCAGCCTCTAGTAACTCTCATTCTGACTTGTCAATTAAAAAAAAATGCTAAATCCCATGTCATTTGTCATTAGACAGTTCATAGTACAAGACAAAAAATGCACGTAACAGTTATAAGTGTTTGGGGAAAATATATATGTAGATTTATTTTTTGTAATAGCACCTTTCTACTCTTGCTATTTAATCAGTGTGTATTTACCCAAATCCTCATGCATTTACTCTGTCTCTACATGCCTCAGAGTATGACCTGGAGCCGTGTGATGATCCTGGAGTCCCTGCCTTCAGCCGAAGAATTGGTTTTCACTTTGGTGTGGGAGACTCTCTGACGTTTTCCTGCTTCCCGGGATATCGCTTAGAAGGTGCAACCAAGCTTACCTGCCTGGGTGGGGGCCGCCGTGTGTGGAGTGCACCTCTGCCAAGGTGTGTGGGTAGGTGGTCACACGCTTTCATTTCATTCATCCATGGGGGCAGGGCATAGCCCAGGCAAGAAGCCCAGGGTGGTCGGGACGGGGTGGGGGGTTGTTGACAAGGAACGTGGGGGTGAGAGTATGGGCCTCACTCTGCAAAGCAGGGGAGAGGGGAGCTGCCTAACTGCTCTGGGCTTGAATGAGCTCATCTATAATGTAAGTCCCTTTCTGCTCTGAAATTTTATGATTGAACAAGAGAGAAACCAAAGCATGTGTCAAGCATATTTATGAAGGGAAGCAAAAAAAATATATATATATATATATATCCACATATATATGAGAGAGAGAGAGAGAGAAAAAAAAAAATCTGGAGCAAAAGAAAACAATGAAAAAGAAAGAAACCAAGCAATAATAACACAACCTCTGACAATTATATTGGTTAAAAGCAGCACGTGTCCCTTGGTATAACGATGGTGACAATTTCGTTTTTGTTGTCAGTTGTACCCTTTGATTGGATGATGGTTGCACACTCCTGCTAAGTGGGCACGATAGGCATTTGAATGCTGAATTTGCTTTTTCAGTGTGTTCTGGAGGAATCCAAGAGAGAATTCCAAAGAGTAACAGGAACTTTTATTTCGGTACCTTGAAATGAAGTCCTGGGCTCACGTGCTGGTACTGGCGTGTTGATCCGGTAGGGCGGTGTTTATTGGCAATCTGGAAACTGTGCCACTGTAAGAAGTTTAGCAAAGGAGAATCGTAACTGCTGTCGTAGCTTAAATAGGGTGTGTTGCCCACACAGCCAGAGCTCTCGTAGTTAGCTGTGCAGATAAGGTCTGGTTCCTGCCACAGCAACCCAGCCATGTTGCTCAGCATATTCTGGGCCTTACGAATTGTTCTTTAAAGTGACAGAAAACTGACTAATGTCGTTGTGAAGAAAAAAGGGAGGTGAGAGATTAACCAAGGTTCTCCTTAACACCAAGCCTTCTGAGTCCATGGAGTCCAGAATACGAACCACACTAATTTAACCAGTTAACGAACTGGAGGCAGGTGGGGGAGGTCTGAAGATAAAATGTAATAATCCATGTAAAACACAAACTTGTTCACTTAGCATGACTTGTTTAGCATAACTGGTTTTATTTTACCATGGTGTAGAATCTCTTTGATTTTTTGGAGTTGCTTGGGAATATTATGTAACTCAAATGATAAAGCTCTCTTTTTGAATGTTGATGAGCCAGAGAGACACATAGTCAGAATTTCATTATTAAAAAAATTAAACAAAAAATTTGAATCAAATCATCTGTGTCTCTTTCCAAAACAGGTGTCTATATATTTTTACAATCTGTTTTTATCCTAAAATAGATATCCTAAAATATCCTAAAATCTTACTTTTTTGTGGTTATAATATTTATTTGAGAATGGAAGGCAAATTTTGAATATTATCTCAAGAAAAAAAAAAGATACGGTATTTTGTAGATGATATTAGGAGTTCCCAGAGTTGGTTGGAGTCTATTCCAGAGACTCCTAACTGAGACTGTTTGAAGTCTGGGCAAAACCCCCAACTCAGTGAAATCAAAGTGACATCTAGATATGTCACAGTAAGTAGTCTACTGATTATAATGATTAAGACCCATTAAATGTTATTCTATTTCATCCAGAGTCATTATCTTTACATTGTTTTTCTTGTTATTCAAGTTTTTACTCTGCGGTCTAAAATATGAAAGAATAAGTAACCAGAGTTGGAAGAATAGTTACTATTTATTAAACACTGCATGGTAGACCAGCCACTGCTTCAGGCTCCTTCCATGTAATAATGTATTTAGTCCCATGACAATTCTATGAAGTAAACCCTACGATTGACAGTTTCCTTTTACAGGTGGAAATATTAAGACACAAAGACCCTACAAACTTTGCCCAAGGACATAGAACTAGGAAGACTCAAACCCAGGGAACCTGCAACTCAGCCTTTAACCACTGCACTGAACAGGGAAACGGAGGGCCTTGGACAGGCCCTTTTTATATTTAGTCTTTTGCATTTTGCCTGCAGTTCCCTGATTTTTCTTCCAGCCCCTCTGGTGCATTTGGGTGCTGTCTTCATTTCTCTCTCATTCCCCCCACCTGCTTAGCTCCTAGTTCTGAAGGTTTCTGGCCACTGCAGAGCTCTCAGGTCAGGCTCCTCCTGCCCACCCTCCTAGCTCCAACTCCCTCCATATCCCCCCATCCCCCTGATGGTTCCCCCAGCTCCCCAGACCCCACCAACCCCAGGGGCCGCAGCTCGCAGAATGCTGTCTCCAAAGTGAAAACCCCATCGATTCGCCCAATGTAACAGAGCCTGGTCAGTGCTTCCCCTACTAATCAGAGCAATCACTCTCCCTCCACGCTGTCCTGGCTCAGAGTCCCTCATTCACTGGCTCTCCAGAGTGCACCCAGCACTCACCCAGCATCCTTGTGCAGACAGATGGAGCCCTCTCAGGCCCACAGAACACCAGGGCTCTTTCTATAAGGTTGGTGCAAAAGTAATTGCAGTTTTTGCCATTACATTTTTTTTTTTTTTTTTTTTTGAGACAGAGTTTTTTTCTTGTCACCCAGGCTGGAGTGCAGTGACGCGATCTTGGCTCACTGCAACCTCTGCCTCCCAAGTTCAAGCGATTCTCCTGCCTCATCCTCCCGAGTTGGTGGGACTACAGGTGCCCACCACTGCGTCCAGCTAATTTTTGTAATTTTAATAGAGACGGGGTGTCACCATGTTGGCCAGGCTTGTCTCAAACTCCTGATCTTATGATCAGCCCGCCTTGGCCTCCCAAAGTGCTGGGATTACAGGCGTGAGCCACCGCGCCCGGCCTCAAGTTGTCTTCATCTCTTTGTCTCCCTCCTCGGACTGACGGCTGCTTTACAGTGGGCTGCCTCATCCCTAAGCTCTGTGTATCCAAAAGAGGAAAATTGCTTTCCTCAGAAGCTTCTCTTTTCATCTCAAAAATTTGATTCATCCATACTTCATGTTCCTTTCTCTAAAATTATAGAAATAAAAATGATTTGCCTGTGGCAAGGAAAGAGGCAAATCCATACCAAAGGTTGCAGGTGATCCCTAAGGAATGTCGACTGAGTTAGAAGCATGCCATTTTAACCTCCCTAATAAATGTCTGACCTTAAATGGAATTTCTAGTGAGCGTCTGAGCTGA